CTATGCTGATGAATGCACGCCGTTGAATGTGTTGCTTCCAACCAACAAGATGAAGGCGACATTGTTCTACATCAGTTTCCTTGACATGGACCAGGTCTTGTCCTCCGAATTGGCTTGGCTGCCATTGGCATTCATCCTGCATGACCATGTTGACGTGGTCAGTGGTGGTATGGCAGGAACATTGAAGAAGCTTGTTGAACACCTTCATAAGCAGAACCGCTGGGGGTTCTCACTCAGGTTTGACAAAGACCTGCATTGGTGCAAGTTGGGTGAATTCTTCTTTCATGGCGATTTGGATAGCATCAGGAGCTCCTTTGCGTTGAAGGGCAGCGCTGGTTTACGTCCATGCCCGCACTGCAACAACATCATCAAGAAAGGCTCAAACTTGATTGAATTCGATGACGAACATTATTTCCTTGAAATCAGTTCAGGAAAGGAGAACCATTTTCAGAAGAACAGCGACCAGGATGTTTTCCAGGCCATTGACTCTTTGGCTAGGCAAGCAAATGATTTGAGCAAAATGCAGTTGAAGGACCTGGAAAAAAGGATGGGCTTGAATATGGAACCAGAAAGCATTTGGTTTGATGCCAATTTGCGGTCTATTCTTCCTCCGAGTCGTATCATCTACGACCCAATGCATGTATATTATTCAAATGGCATTGCGAATGTCGAGCTGGCTTTGCTTTTTGAGAGGATGGAGAAACAAACTCCATTCAACAAGGGCAACTTGTTGGCATCCTGTCTCCAGGCAGATTGGAAATGTCATGGCATGGGCAGCAAACCAAGCAAGTCTCACTTGCGCCTGCTTTTCTCAGAAAAACTGTTTGGGGATTACGTATTCAAAGGCAGCGCGTGCCAAACCAAGAACTTGGTCTCCCTGATGGCGTACTATGTCGAGATCCTGCTGAAGCAGCATGACTTCTTGCCAGAGGAGACGCAATCTTTTCTCAGCCTAGTTCGTTGTCACAGAGAGTTGACCAGCCTGAAACAGCATTCTGGGAAAGTCACAGATGTGGCACAAATGCGAGCTGCTGCGCAAAACCATCAGGATTTGTTTCATCAAGCTTACGAAAATGGTTCCAAGCCGAAACATCATTTTAGGTTCCATATTGCAGACTCGGCATTGCGGGCAGGAAAGTGCATCTCTTGTGAGCCCCAAGAGAAAAAACACCAGGTCTACAAGGGGAGTATTGCAGCCAGAGTCAAATGGAAATCTGGAGGTGCAGGTGGAGGAGTAGCCTGGGCCACTCTCCCTCGCATTTTGTCAATGCAGATTCGAGAGATCAAGGAGCACCCTTTGTGTTTTGAGATGACTCTGTTCCCGCCCTTGAAAACACCCAGGGAGATGCAATGCAATTTTTGCAGAACAGGAACACACCAATGTCAGCCAGTGACCAGAATTGATTTCAAGCACTCTTTTGTTTGCTGATAAGATAGTGCACAATGTGCATAATTTTTCTTTATTGAATTTTCGTGTTCATTGAAGTTGATCTTTGGAACCATGAGATCAGGCGCTCGAATTGGAACACTGACCGTCTCAATAGATGACATTGTGTTGTGGCCGAGCATGCGTTCTGGTGGCATAATTTTGGTTTGCTTCTGTCAAGAAGGCATTGTTCACTTTGTATTGAGGAGGCTCATTCCAGCAGTTTGTCCACTTTACATTTCTCCCAAAGTTTCGTATCTCTGGAAACATGTATGTAGAATATATATATATATACAAATTTGGGTTCCGCTACCTGACATAGATATATATATATATAGCATCGCTAACATTGGATTCTTCTACCTTCCATGTTCCTTCTCACGCACACATGCACAACAGGTATCCCAGCATTCATATGGAAGCGTTTGGCGGCAAAGCGAGCAGCTGCTGCAAAAGCAAGCTTCACATTTTTTGGTGCCGTGGTGGTGGCGCCAAAATACTCCGCAGTCTGAATGGGTATGTTTACATTGATGCCCTATGGCCTCACACCGCTACAAAAGCGGGAGCATTGATGGTAGAAAAACTGCTAAGTGTCGCTTTACAGTGGTGTTCATGCTCATGTGTTTTCAACAAATTGACGTTTTTTTCATGACAGCGGTGTTCCCGCCCATGTTTTTGTCAACAAACTGATGATTTTTTTCAAAGGACAGCGGTGTTCCCGCTCATGATTTTTCAACAAGTTGATGTGTGTGTGTTTTTGTTTGACGTTTGACAAAACGAAAACTACTTAGGTTCTACTTAGGTTCTACTTATAAGTCTACTTATAAGTTCAATAAGTACGGCCAAGATAAGTAGCCGGTAAGTATACTTACAAATACTTATAAGTAGTTTAAGTAAGATAAGTACACCGATAGAAACAACGGGTCGCGAACAAGACTCCACCCCCAGACCCCCAAGAGTTAAACGAGAACCCTTCGCTACGCATTCGGGAAAAATATATTTATATAAAACATATCTATATGTATCTGCCGTCGTTTTGAGACATCTTCTTTGTGAATAGATGGGCCGCCTACGCCGACCATGACACCCTCAACAGCTATCACGTTGGGAGATGGTGGGAAGCTAACGAGGGCCATCTGTGAACACTCGTCTTCTCAAATCCCCAAGGGTGAAACACACCCACTCTTCCACTCGTTGGCGCTGAGCAAAACTTTTTTGCACTTTGCGCCGGGAGTGAAGGGCCAGTATGCCACTGCAACTTGGACCGCCCTGAAGCAATTGCCCAGACGCTGTGGGTTCAGGGCTGCGATGTAGGAGAGGTGAGCTCACGGCCTCAGCCATGAGTGGGGCAAGAAAGCGAAACTCTCAATTACGGATTGTCTCAGGGTGGGAGCAAGCTGGCTCAAATTCAGCGGTTTGTCTTGTCGGCCAAATGGGCGCGCGCAAAAAAAAACGATGTACCCGGCACAAGTCCTGGTTCAAAAACCAAAACCATCTCCACGTGAACAACCTCCACAAGCGCTGAGAACACGCCATCTGGGTGGTTTTGGTTATGGTACCACCCTAGGTGAAGAGTCAAACACGAAGCTCATCGGTCGCCCAACTCCTTTGGCCTCTCAAACTGCGATGTAGGAAACGGCGACGATCAAACCCTGCTCTGATGTCCACAAGTGTGGCAGTCTAACGTGAAGTCATGAGTGTCGAGCAAAACCGGTTGGGCAAGCACTGCCAACAACTAGGACACAACGCCTTTGACCCACTAAATTTCCCTGCAATGACTCTGCAATTTTTCGTTTTGCTGATGCGTCAAGAGGGGCAATGGCTGATTTTGCGGCCCGATTGCCTTTGCTTTTGTTTTGCCACAATGCAAGAAGACAGCAAATTTGCGAAAATGCTTCGTGAAAACGCATAAAAGTACCACGAGACTCAAGATTCAATTGCCTTGGCGGGCGCTAGTGTGGCCTCATTTGAGTACGTTGTTTGGGAACCGGGGCCAGTTGGGACATAGAACCATGCAAAGAAGTTGTATTTCAGGGTTGTATTATTTCGAAACTTTTTGTTGTATTTCTAATGCTTTTGGATTTCTTAGGCTCTACCTGAAAGCCGGGGCGGGATTCACTGATAGTGTTTCCAAAATGCGGTTTCGCGGCCCGCTTCGGCCAATTTTGTATTTGTTTTTTGCGGGTCGTATTCTTGTATTCTTTGTATTTTTTGCGGGTCGTAAAATTTTGAATTGTTATTTTTTTGCGGGCTGTATTTTCTGTACTTTTTGCTGTGTTTGTCTTTTGTATTTTTGTATGTTTTTGTACGCTGGTATGTTTGCTTTTTCGTATTTTGTACGTTGCTACTTTTTTCGCGGGTCGTATTTTTGTATTTTTTGCTGCTGTATTCTTTCGTTTTCTGCAGTTTTCGCGGGTCGCATTTTTTCGCTTTCAAAAAGATATACAAGTTTTCAGCCTCGAACTGCGAACCGGCAAAGCCCACAGGCAAATTTGTACAACCAGCGAAACGTGGCCAGGCTACCCGACAACCACGAGAGGCTGCTCCAAAAGCCAAGGGCGCCAGCTTCCCATCCCACCCACATCAACGCGCTTCAAAAGGCAATTTCCGTGAATATCGCTTGCAGCTTTTCATTTTTTGAAGGGCTGGATAACCCCACACTTGGTGCTCCAGGGGGTCGGATGTACGCCCTGGCGCGGTTGGGTCTCCTGCATGGAAGGCGCTGTGCTTTGCGTGGCAGGCGCAGCACTTGGTCCACTCCAGGGCTGCCACCCACCAATTGCCACCAACCAGCTGCCACCAACCAATTGCAACCCACCAATTGTGACCAACCAGTTGTCATCAACCAGTTGTCATCAACCATTTGTCATCAACCTCACGAGTTGCCACCAACCAATTGTCATCAACCAGCTGTCATCAACCAATTGCCACCCACCAACTGTGACCAACTGTCACCAACCAATTGCCACCCACCAGTTGCTGCCAACCAATTGCTACCAACTATAAAGTTGTCACCAACCAATTGTCACCAACCAATTGCTACCAACCAATTGTCACCAACCAGCTGGTATAAACCACTTGTCGTCAACAAATTGCCACCCACCAATTGTCACCAACAAACTGCCGCCAACCAATTGCCACCAACAGACTGCCACCAACCAATTGCCACCAACCAACTGCCACCAACAAACTGCCACCAACCAATTGCCACCACAATTGTCTGCTCCTGTGTCCAGTGAAGTTGTTAACATGTGGGGTCATCCGGTCCTATAATGTCAAAAAAACAATTAGATACCCCCTTTCAATTCCGGATTCTATCTACTCCAGGGTGATTGTTATATGTATATATATATATATTATTATTACTATTAGTGCTATTATTCTTGTTGTTATATCATTACATAATGTACAATGAAAAACAAATAATATATATATAAGAAATCATATTGTAAAAAATATAGATAATATCTAATTCATTGTGATTTGTAGTATTTACTATGTACAATCAAAATTAATCAAAGCGTATTCTTACGTTGTTTCCCTCAGTGTGCTCGATATTGTCGATCCGTCACTCCTCTTCCAGTACAGGCACAGACCTTGCCAATAGGGAGGCTGCTGCCAGCCCAAACTCTTGGACATTCCACTGGCCTTGACATGGATTTCAGGCGCTGCAGCACGCTGCTGCATAGTTTTCAAAAACACAATACAACAACGCACTTTGATACTGAAATTGATAATAATTGATACTTTTGAGTGTTCAACAAAATGCACAGTATGGTATAGCATACTCACATAATTCATTGAGACAGGCAACTCTCATTGCTTATGTCTGTCTCCAGGAGTTTCTCCGCCAATTGAGCCTGAAAGACAAGGTGAACATCATCGGCATCAAAGAAATACTGCAGACTCGAGAAATGGCGCAGCTTGGTTCCAGGTAAACTATGCTCTCGACCCATTCGGCAAGCCATGTATCGCCCAATCCTGCTGACCGAACTGCGCGTTCCTAAGTCACGAGCTTTGGCTGCTTGGAAGCAGCGAGCAACATGTGATCCGATCACGCAAACTCCTCCCTTCATGCTACTGCAAGATCAATTGCAGACATGGACACACAGCGGCGCCCAACACAAAATCAGAGTGCCTGGTAACAACCATCCCCAGTGGACTTCAGGGGCTCAAAACAATGCCAGGCTCCCGTGAGACCACCTCATACGATCAGAACACAGGACCATCGGGACACCATCACTCCGCAGCACGATTCCCAGCAAGGCCAGCAACAATGTCACAGTGACCATATGTGACCATTCCACTAATATTGGAGGCAGAAATGGTCGGTAAGCAGGGCCCACGATCTGCCTGCTGGCAGGCAAGCAGCACCCGGCCTTTTGCGGAATCAAGTGTTGAAACAAGGCTTACAGCACGCAGTCATGTTGCTCACCCCATGAAACACACGCCTTTTGACCCCTTCGCCTTCTAATTGATCCAAAATTTTAAGCGTTCAATAAGCGCTTACCACCACAAGACAGGCTGCGCGCGTAAGCCTGCGGTGCTTGCTCTGAAATGCTCTGAACACGCTCAAAGAAGTGGGAGTGGCGTCGGCTTGTCGAAGAACATCAACACCCATCCTCTGCGTGGGCTGGACAAGCTTCCAGCGCGCAGCGAAGCACACAGTTGCACCATGGGACTACCCTCAAATGAACATCCTCGGTACGGGAGCACATTCTGAGCGCGATATTGGCATAAAATTCGACGTGCAGTAGACGACCTGTATTCCGCCTAGGATGGTGATCACATTGAATGGCTTCGGGTATTCCGGGTGGCTTCTCTTTTGGACCTGCTCCAGACTTGCAGCTTTGTCACCAAATGGCTGAAGCTACTGGGTACTTCCCTTAGAATGCCCCGATCTGTGTACAGATTGCAACTTTTGCCTGGATCCTCCTTGGAACGATGCCAAAATCACAATGAAATGGGCTGTAAGGAACCTACTAGCAATGGCCTCCAACCTAGTAGCGATGGTAGCGTACCGAAGCCAATCGCAGGAACAAGTA